TATACATGAGCAAGATAGATTTTGCATGAGCATTCCTTTAACAGACAAATACTAGTTTCTTAACAGGCTATAGCTTCCCAGAGACTAACGTCAGGAGGTTGTGGGAGGCGCCGTTAGAAGGCTGGCATCAAGGGGATTCAGAAACATGTCTGACAGGTGTGAGGGAATGTCTGGACATCGAGATATCTGTCTTCAAAGTTAGCAGAAATTTACCAGTAAAGACCATTTACATAGCAGCCTGTAGCTCGGCGGGGTCTGATGCCAGGAGGCCGTGGGAGCTGCCGTTGGAAGGCTGGCATCGAGGGGATTCCAGAACATGTCTGACAGGTGCAAGCGAATAGCTAGGCGTCGAGATATCTATCTTCAAAGTTAGCAGAAATTTACCAGTAAAGACCAGTTCTATAGCAACCTGTAGCTCAACAGAGACTGATGCCAGCAGGATGTGGGAGGCGCCGTTGGAAGGCTGGCATCGAGGGGATTCTGGAACATGTCTGACGGGCATGAGCGAATGGCTGGACATCGAGCTATCTGTCTTCAATGTTAGCAGAAATTTACTTGTAAAGACCAGTTCTATAACAGCCTGTAGCTCAGTGGGGACTGACTCCGGGAGGATGTGGGCGGTGCCCTTGGAAGGCTGGCATCGAGGGGACTCTGGAACATGTCTGACGAGCGCGAGCAAATGGCTGGGCATTGAGATATCTGTCTTCAAAATTAGCAGAAATTCACCAGTAAAGACTAGTTCTATAACAGCCTATAGCTTGACGGAGACCAATGCCAGCAGGATATGGAAGGTGCCGTTGGAAGGCTGGCATCGAGAGGATTCAGAAACATGTCTGACAGGCATGGGCGAATGCCTGGGCATCGAGATATCTGTCTTCAAAGTTAGCAGAAATTCACCAGTCAAGACTATTTCCATAGCAGCCTATTGCTTGGTGGAGAGTGATGCCAGGAGGATGTGGGAGGTGTAACTAAAAAGATTGATCAGAATACGCATGTATGAAAACATAACAAGCTGTATTACCTAAGATATCACAACTATCCCTCATTTTCACAATGAATGCAACTGTCATATTCACTCCCTTCAGAGTTATGAGAATAAAATAGACTTGGATATCAGTGTACTGTATTATTTCATCAAATTAAGGATCTCTATACAGGGTTCTAATCTCTATTTCAAGACAACTAATCCCCATAGAGCCTACAATTTAACAAGAAGGGGCAAAGGAGATTATGTTAACTCCTATTAAGCAGCCTTAACTTTTGTTAACCTATTGTTAATTATGTGCTTGAGTGATCAAACTTTGCCCTGTCACTACCCAATTTGACAAGATAATATGCTATTTGAGTCTTCTCCTTTTTTCGTGCCTAATTTGGTTTAGCTTTCACAGTCAGTTGCTAATATGTGGCTGGCTACAACCTTATGTCCAATCTAAACCCAGGAGGCAAGTGAGCATCCCGGTAGAACTCAGGATGCAACCAAGTTTCTAATCCAAACTCAGGAGGTAACAGAGTATCCCTTCAGAACTCAGGATACATTAGGTGCAACTGAGTGTAGCTTCCAAACTCAGGATGCAACTGAGTGTCCAATCCAAACTCAGGAGTCAAGCAAGCATCCCTGCAGAACTCAGGATGCACTAGGCGCAACTGAGTGTAGCTTCCCAACTCAAGATGCAACCGAGTTTCCCACACAAACTTAGGAGGCAGCAGGTGCAATGTAGTGGTACATCCAAACTCAGGATGCACCAGGCGCACCAGGTGCATGAGAAATGCAGCTTGTATCAAGACGCAATGCCCATGCATCAGATGCAAGATTTTTCTTTGCTGATGTTTGCCCTCTGTGAGCACTGCATGCTCTCTGCAAGAGGAGAGGGATCCATGGGTTTTGGTATATTGTCACTCAAGATCTTCCATATACCTATGATGTTGAGGAAGGTAGTAGCTATCAATCACTGTCTATAGAAATTGGCAGCTCCCCTCAGCTTATTGATCTAGGGGATTCTAATTATTTTCGTTCCAATTATTGAGTCATGCATTATGACAGCTATCTCATTGCTAGAGATAAAGTGTTGAAGGCGTAGGTCTTATCAAAGACTATCGTGCATGTTCATTTGTTGTTATCAATTCCTGAGTTGGTTTAGTGCACTGAACCTGAGCTCATAACCTGTGAAGTATTTATGGTGCAATAGTCATTGACCTTCAATACATTCACATCAGTGGGTAGGAGCTGATGACCAAGAACAATAGAGTAGTGATTGAGTTTCTGTCTATGTTGAATGAAAAAGATAACATGTAACATAGAATGAATTAATTGATCAAAGTATCTGATAATGAAGAACAGGATTTTTGATGATAGTGGATAACTAAAGGAAAACATAGGATCTTTATAGAGATTGTGAGGGAAAAATGAAACTGAGAAAAACATAAAAGGAACTAACTAATGACATATGAAATCCACTAATGTCTCACGTCCTCAACTAGCAGCCAACTCTAACATATCCAATACATATCCATAACAGACATGTCCAACCATCTATATCTAATGTATCGTAATTCTAGTAAATGTATCGAGATTTTCTGTACTAATGCATTGGGAATGAGGTCGCTAATGTATACCATCCATCTCATAAATTCAACAATTCTCTTGGTGTTGAAATCGATCGCCCTTGTCGTCATCATTATCTTTTTAGACTATCATTAGTAAACACCTCAAAGAGAGTAGCAAATGGTAAACAAATATCAGCAGTCACTAGGATGCGTCCTAGTACTTCGCCACTTCGTGCAAGAGTGGCCTTGATAGCTTCTTCTTATAGACCTTCATGTGTGGGACCAATCTCAGATCCTGTTGTGAATCCAGTAGCACCACAATGGAGACCAGCAATGTAGTTTGCCGGAGCTGGCTCATTGAAGACGTTAGGTTTCATCGTCTTGGCAGTTGATGGTTTGGCTGGTGGTACGAATGGGTGGGGAAATGGTCTTTGTCCGGTGAGATATAACGGTAAGGATCAAGGATAGTGAAGATTAAAGATTGGAAGACAAACCGAAATGAATAAGAAATATTTACATGCCTTGCCAATTGTACCCATTAAGGTATAAGACAGAAATCGCTCTCACAAACAGAAATCATCTCAACAATTCCGCTCTCTCTTTCTCAGCTCTGCAATGCACTTCTCGCTCACATCTCTCTCCCTACTCCGAAGGTCCCTGAGGCCATCTATATAGGTGGTGATCCCCTTACAAACAGTCAACGAATTGTTGACCACGAAATGTCGTTACCATAATATAAAAATACACATGCGCAACCATGAGTCCGCACTTATGCCTCACATCACCCCCCAAGTGAGCAGTGCCTAGTGCGATGGATTGTGTATGGGCGCATTCATTTTTAAGCTCCGTACCCAGTGCGCCGATCTTCAAATCCAGTGTGTTAATCTTTGAATCCAGTTGAGCTGGGCTCGCATCAATCCTGACACCAAAATCATCTTTAATACTACTACGGCCACCCCGCTCATTCCAAAGTGGTCCAAAACCGACATCTACAGTGGCTGTGGCCTCGGGATGTTTCTTAAGCTTCACTAAAAACATCGTATTTAGCTAGTCTCTCAATATCTTGTTAATTTTGACCTGTTGAAAACTCACGGACAGTGATCCCAAGCGGCCAGTCCGACCCATGGCCCGGCCTGCAGGTCGGCAGTCCCGCCAGTCTGGCCATGATTCTGAAGAGCCTGGGTCAGTCCGACTTAAATTATTTGCGGCCACCACAGCGTGGCGGTGCCCAGGCAACCACCAGGTCAAGAGGTTAGGCAACCCAGGCCGAAGCTGCGAGATACCGAGGCTAAAACGCCAGATGCCTAGGCAAAGCCCGCACATCGCCAGGTAAAACCCGCAGATTCCCAGGCTAAGCTGTTCGTATACCACTTATTTTAAATTCGACTGCAGAACCCACAGATACCCAGGCCATCCATGGATATCCAGCGGATATGGAATCACAATGTATCAACCACATACAAAGCCTGCAGGCAGCCCAGGCCGGGCCCGGCTTTGGTTTTGAAAAGCCGCTTTCCAACAGTCCAGCCCGTCCGTCCCGGAAAAAGTGGAACGGACTGGCAACTTGGGATCACTGCTCGCGGAGAATCTGACAAGCATACTCTAAAAACACAATATTTAGTAAACATCCAAATACCTAGTTGATTTTGACCGGTTTGGAAAGAAGACCCACCAAGAATCCGAGGCGAAGACACCATCGACCTTTTCTTAGGTTTGTCTAGTGCTTAGCCTTTGTACAAACACTAAATTCACTGCAGGACATACCGTGAGAGTTGTTTGATTTGATGTTTGATTCGCTTCGCGGGCACTGATGTGGTTGGATGGAGGATGCGTTTGATCTCAGGGGGTTGTAACGGAGATGGAATCATTGACCACTAGAATTCTGATCTCAGTTCATTTATACAACTCCCACCCCCAAGCCTTCCTCTCCTGGCTATCCTCCTCTGCGACTTTCTCACCTCCTCTCCCTTTACATCGACTGAATCTCCAGATTTTCTTCGGCTCTGTTCTTACAGTTATACCTTGTTTACTACTTCTGGAGTCCTTCCGTTTCCCATCCTTCTGTTGGCAAGCTAATATATTCAGTAATATTCTCGGTATAGCATATACTTGACTGACGATATCTAACTCCTCATATCCGTAGTTAATGAGCTCCTCCACCCCTTTCTCTCACCGCGGTCGATGCCGCAACTATAGATAGCACTCTAGTTGCGTCCTCTAGCAACAATTCCGTCGAATCTCTGTCGGCATCAACTATCTCTTTGCTTCCATCCCTGAATCCTAGCTTACTTGCTGACTATCTAACAGAAGTTCTCTTGGTTGCTATTGGTGTTTGCATGGATGTGATAACATGGTTTGGGTATGGTAGCACACTTTTTGTGTTAGCAATGATGGTGACATGATTGGATGGCCCTATATGACAATGACAAGAGACTAATATTTATTATTTATAATGTAGTTTTGTGGTGTAGTTGGTTATCACATCGGTCTAACACACTAATGGTCCCTGGTTTGAGCCTGGACAAAATCACTTTGGTTTTGCATTCCTGGAGCTCACCCCCCTCCTGTTGCCCTATTTTTTGCTCTTGAATTTGGAAGGTTTGCACTGCCTAATGCTTATTCTTCATAGAATGACAAATAGTTCCTCTGGCTATGTGGTAGACAGTGCTGAGCATCAGCCTTGCAGATAAGGGAACTAACATGCTGGCCAGGATGAAGGTGAGTTCCTTCTCTACTTCCCTGTCCATTATGTCCAATCTTTTTTTTTGATTTTACAATGAGAGTCCAAGTGCAGTATGGTTCCACTGGCAATAAACTAACAAAAATACTGTTAAACAAAGTAGCCCATGAAAAGGTTAATATACACCTGGGAAATAAAGAAATTGAAGTTCTGAAAGAGCAACCTTGTAGGTAATAAGTGTCTCTATTGTGCCTATTATACAGAGATTTAATATCTTAATTATTTATAGTGGTATTAACATTTGAAAAACAGTAACTTTCAGCTTAATTGAATACATATGATGACTTTTTTGAAGTATTTGACATCACAAAATGCCTAAAAAGTAGGACTTTTGGGTAGGTTACACATGAGGGCTTAGTCCTAAGTTGTGTAAAATGTGTAAAAAAAATTTATGCAATCCATTCATCAAACATCATTCTCATTCTTATCAAAATTCACAAAATCACCTATTTCTACAGCAACCATCATGACACACCCTACCTCAAAGAGGAAACATGTGCAGAAATTAGCAAGTGAACAATCTGCTGCCAGGAGAAGATTGACTCAGAGTAGAATGACATCACAAGGTAATACTTTCCTTTGTAACATATTGTTTCTTGGTATCAGAAGTCTGACTCTGTTCATCTATATTATCCAATTGTCATTCTCTGTCTTTAATATAGTTACTGATTCTATCAACATAAAGATGACTAGAGATAGTAATGATGTCTCAACCTCAAGTAATAGATCATCAAATAGTACACATCATTACCATAGGTGAAGTGATGACTTATTCTATTTAATAAACAATGAGATAGCTGATAGGCAGAGTAGCTTGAGTAAAGAGGTGTTAATTAAGGAGTTGTGAGAGAATGTAGACTTGGAAGAAAAAGGTAATTAAAATTTGTCCTCCCCAGATATATATATATATAGTATATTTTAGTGAATAATAGTACAAAGAATAAAGTTGAATGAATTTTTTGGAATAAGTAGAGACTAGTGAAGAGGAAAGTGAAGATTAAAAAAGAGAGAAACAGCTCAATTCTATAACTGTAATTGAGGAGAGTCAGAGCCTTCAAGTGATACTCACTGTCGCCAGTTTTAATGCTCTATTTAATATATCAGTAAAGGCTCAAAAAGCTGGTAAGGTAAGTCTTCTAGGACTTTAAGGACATGCTAGCTTTGGTAATTCAAGGATAAGTCTTTGGAAGATTCTTAGAAAAGCACAGCAGTTCAAAGTAGAGAACTCAAAGGTTGTTTGTATTTCAATACATTACAAGAGACAAGAAGCAGACATGATGACTGGGTTGGAAAAAAGCTTAAATAATGAGCCATGTACTGAAGAATCAGTTCAATAGAAACAGTTGAGAAGAATAGATGATTTAAGGGGAAAGGTCAAGTTGTTGACAGCTTGTACAAACTCAAAAGCAAGTTGAGAAGCAGGAGGATCTAGATGGCCAATGGCATAAACATCACCCCATAGTCATGGAATTCTACATGTATCAGCTGAAGGAGCCAGAGACAAGGCTATAAAAAGTAGCTAATATTATCACAGCCACAACAGGACAAGGAGATTGGGTTTGTCAAAGAATTTAGCAGTGGGCCAATACTAGGGAGAAAAGTAGTTTTATACCTAAGAGTGGGCAAGGGGTTAGCCAGAGAATAATAAACTAGGATGAGGATGAAAAGCTGTAAATTCATATTTGCTAGAGCATTGTTGGGCTAGGTGTTCAGGTGACATTGCAAAGGTTAGCTGATGTAGTGAATGACTGCCTAATTTCTGAAAAGCATGAGCAGGCAGTCCTTAAAGCCCTTCAGTTATTAGGTGGTGGACTGGACCAAATATGGGATGATGATGGTGAAATTAATGGTGAAGATGGTGGTGATAAGGTAGAAAATAGAGAACAGATTTTAACATAGTATAATTGATATAGGTAGGAGTAAATACAAGCTGTATCAGTATAGTGATGGTCATGGAAACTGGGCTTTCAATACCATCACATTTACAAAGGCATATATAATGATGGTTATGAGTGAGCTCACGTTTTGGAATATCACTCAAGCTTTATCAAGATACTTGATTTACTTGATCTCAGGATAGCAAAGTTTGATGAAAAGGAGAAGATGTTGGAGAATGATATGCAGGAGGGACAAAAGCAGATAATTCTCATAATTCATGATGAATCTACTTTTAATGCTAATGATACACATCATCACTCATGGCAAAGTAGAACTGCAACATTTTTACAATCAAAGTCTAAGAGTAGAGGTATTATGTTGAGTGATGTTCTCTTTCCTTATGGAAGGCTGATAGTCTCCAACTCTGTTACAGCCAAGAAGATCATTGTGAACATCTTAGATGCAAAAAACAGGTTAGCAACTATGTTTTTTAATTATGGAAAGAATAATGAGTGGTATTGGACTGTTGATTACTTAGTGAAACATATCATAAAGATTGTGATTTCAATGTTTGAATTATGCTTTCCTAATAGCAATACATAAGGTTTGTTTTTCTTTGGCAATGCAGATGGCCACTTATGGTATGTGGAGGGTGCACTACAAGTATCTTGCATGAGTTTTAGATCTAGAGGCAAGCTGATACTAGTCTGGGCTGGGTGGTTTGAGGAAGATGGACAGTGGATTGAATAGTTACTGGTCTTTGATGCAACATATCCAAAATACATATGTCTTCTAAAAGGGTTACAAGTTGTTCTTAAGGAATGTGGTCTTTAGCATGATGGTTTACATTATGATTATACCAGACAGTATAATGATGGATGGTGGGTAGTTATCATCCAATAGAAAGTAATATCTGATAATTTGTCCTGCTCAAAGTCATCAGAACTATGCTAAAAGAAGAAATGATGTCTTGTTTATATGCATAAAATCAATCAACTTCCTCTTGTCCAAAAGGGTATTGCTTGTAGCATCCTTAGGAAGTATACAGAGGTTGACAATTGGAATAGATGCTGTACATGAAAGATTATCTCTCTCTAACCAGACTTTTCTGAGCAGAAAGAAAGACTTCAGGATGAGATAGAGAAATGTGGGTACCTCATCCTTTTCCTTCCTAAGTTTCATTGAAAACTCAACTAGATTGAATATTATTAGGGGTGAGCCAAGAGGTATGAATGAGATAACTGTGGTTATATAATCAAAATACTTTTTGAGACAGTCCTATTAGCACTTGAATCTGTAAGTCCTGAGTTGATTGGAATGTATTAAAGTACAGGAAAAAATAATAGTATTGGTACAGTGAAAAGAAAAGATAAAACTCATACTCTCAAAAATCTGACTAATGAAAAAGATAGTGATACATATAGTATCAAAACACAAACTCCATGGATACCTTTTTTTGGTATCCTACCAGCTTCCATCACATCCTATAAATATCTCACTAAGTGTCTTCCCAACTATTTCACACTTATCCATACTTCTAACCAAACTTCTGTATCTCTATCTAAATTCCCACTCTTGTCTCCAAACTCCCTTACTTTTCACAAAGTAAAACAACCTTCCTTAAACTTCCTTTATTATCCTCAGGTAACCACCACCATCTAACAACCTCTGGCAAGTCAACTCCATAACTTCTCAACTGTGGAATGTTTCAACACTCCCCCTGAAGCTTGACTATCATTGGAGAAAATGATATCAAGATTCATTAGGAACCTCTGCTAGTATTGCCTTGTGTAAATCTTGGTAAACCCATCCACTAACATCTTAGACATAGGTACATGGCTAAGGGTGATCAACTGATTGAGAATCTGTTCATGTAACCAATAAAACTTACAGTAAAAGTCTTCAATGCCACAACCCTGGCGTGAAAATATCTACAATACCACAACGCCTTGGACTAGTTTAGTTCTTGATTTCTGCTTGCCTCCATAAATATTTACACATGCGTGCACAGGTCTAAACACCAGTTGTATACATAAAGTAAGCCATGGTTAAACTAAGAGTACACGAAAATGAAGAAAAAGACCAAGAACATTTAAACTGAAGTAAATTCATGTTTTAATTAATCAGAACTCTATAGCTTGAGTCTATAATGAGGCTTCTCCTCCCTTTAATCATGAGGTTTCTTGCATGCTCGAGCATTACGACCTTCTGGACCACATGTAGAACAGTGATGAGTGGCGCGATCGGGTATTATACAAGGGGAAGACCACCGGTAAGCTACTGAACCTGAGCATGATTTCTTACTTCGCAGGGCCGGATGCGCTCCTTTTTTGGCCACCCACAGGGCACACAAGTGATACAACCAGCTTTTAGACGTATGCATGTATATGTAAACATTTATAGAGGCAAGCGGAAATCAAGAACTAAACTAGTCCAAGGCGTTGTGGTATTGTAGATATTTTCACGCCAGGGTTGTGGCATTGAAGACCTTTACCGAAAAAACCAACAGCCTCCAAAGTTGTCATTAACATTCCAACAATCTACACCCTGGCTTATTTCTCCTATCGTTTATAAACTCCACCATCACCGGTGGAATAATGCAGTGACAAAGTATGATGGCATGTGCATAAGACGAACAATGACCGTGGGAATGTAATACCTGTATGGTAAGTAGATTGCAATTCCGGGGATAGCAAAAATCTTCATGATAAAATATTTTAAACCGACTTTTGCTTGGGGAATCCACTCTCTGGCCTGGAAGGTATGGTTCCGCTCACGATAAACCAACAATTTGTTCACTTTGGATGTGGGAAAAAAAAAGGTTTTATGGTAAAATTTTGTACTAACTTTGGAAATTTTGTTACAAAAATACAATTCAGAAGGAAAAAACATAGAAAACTTTTTATAATATG